CTCAGTGGTTCTGGTGCCTGCCTCGAAAGCACAAGCGATCCCCAGTACAAAAAATAAATAAATAAAAGTGTTTTAAAAAAAGAAAGAAGAAAATTATATTTTAAGGAAGTTTTTTATTTGTATACTTTATAGAGAAAGAATGGGTTTTAATTATTTAAAAGCCTTGAGGTATGAAACTACTGCTAGTTTTTTGTTCTTTTATTTTTGGTACCAGGGATCGAACTCGGGTCCTTGCACTTGCACAGCAGGTGGTGAAACCACTGAGCTAAATCCCCGGCCCACTATTACTAGTTTTTACGTATGGATTCTGTGTGTGTAGGAAATGCTTATCAAAGAAAATTATAGTTTGAAAATACTGGTTACTGAAATCCAAATTTGGTAACTCAAATTGGCAGTACCTCAACCTTTCAACAATATTACTTTAACCATTGTCATCATATAAGCAACAGCTGTTTCAAAAAGAGAGTATGGTAGAAACTAATTTGAAAATGTACATCAATGCATGTTATTGGCCGTCCTAGAAGAATCAGGCCTATCATCTTCTCACTCTCTTCTCTTATTTATACATATAGATGAGGACAGAACTGTATTTCCTGTCATCACAGAAGAATCGGCCCAGCCTCTTTGGAATGCCATTGATTGTTCCATGTACTGTGCATACACGGAAAAAAGATCTTTATGATGCAGTCTGGATTCAGGTATCTCGACTAGCCAGCCCACTCCCACCTCAGGAAGCTAGTAATCATGCTCAGGATTGGTAAGTTCGAGGATTAGCCTCAACTTGTGGTTTCCAAAAGTGATAAGAATATTTTATATGAATTCTGTGTGATAATATGACCCATTCCCCATCAAGTTAATCACTCTTAGAAGGACCATTTAGAGAGCACATAATTCAGCCATTTGGTTTTGAGGAAGAAATATAGCTTCCTTTTGTCACCTAGACATCCTAGTGTCTAGCAATTCTTTCTCTAATCTCTTAGCTAACTCCCTCCTACCATTGCTTTATGTAATATCCTTGTCTTCTGCTATTAGAAGAGTAAAGAGTATGAAGCCAGGCATGGTGGCCCATGCCTGTACTCCCAGAACTGCCTGGGAGGCTGATGCAGGAGGATCCAAAGTTTGAGCCCAGCACAGGCAACTTAATGACTTAGCAAGGCCCTGTTTCTAAATTTAAAAAATTTTAAAAAGGCTGAAGATGTAGATGAGTGCAAAGGCCCTGAGTTCAGTCCCTAGTACCACAAGAAAAAAAAAGGGAGTATAAATTCTCCAGGAAATTTGTATCATCTCAATCTTCTGAAATTCAAAATGGGAGTGACAGTGTACTTCTCTGTGGTGAACTCTTTGTTGTTGGGTTTTTTTGGCCTGGTACCAGGGATCGAACTTGCGAGGCAGGCAAAGCGCCACTAACCTAAATCCCTGGCCCTGTCATGAACTCTTTTTTTTTTGGTACCAGGGATTGAACTTGGGTCCTTGGGCTTGCATAGCAGGTGGTGAAACCACTGAGCTAAATCCCTGGCCCCCTGTCATGAACTTTTAAAGAGTCATGCCATAACAAATAATTCATTTGAATTATTTCCATACTACGTCATTTTACCTTGGAATAATTTCATAAACTTATTTTTAAATTTATTTTATTTTATCCCATTCCCCTCCCCTTTCTATGTACAAAAGCATAAATTTAGATAAAGATAATAAACATTTTCTGTATTGTTTTCATTCCTTCTACCACTATTCTGTTGGATCAGTAAATGCATTTACTTTGGATAATCATTAGGATTGTGGGTGCCTTATTTATATCTCAGTTAAATTGCACATCATTTACTTACTGTCATGGTGCAAATGAGAGTTCTGTGTAGTAAAAAGTTCTTTGTTGTAGTGTAGAGTCTTTTGATGATTAAATAGGACTTAAGGTGAATAAATCTTAAAGGAAAACTGCAAATAATAAGCAATTTAGTTGATGACTGTGTATTCAATAAAAATGACTTTGGGATGATACTAAATCTGAAGTGAGAGTCTGATTGAATTAAAGGGCTTTTCTCAGGATTTGCTACTAAATTGAATATGGATTATGAGAGAAAGAGGAGTCCAAGCTAAATTTTCTGCCTGAGCAATTGTTTGTGGATGATAGTACCATTTAATGAAACAGGGAGAACTGGAGAAAGAAGAGCATGTTTTGGCAAGAAAGGACAGGAATCAAGTTAGGTTGAAGATATCTGTTGTTATATTCAAGGAGAAATTCACTAAATGCCCTTTGCTGGAGATGGAAATAAAAGTGTCATCAGATAATTGGTATATAAAGCCCCGGGATAAGATAATGTCCCTTAAAAGTGAGAATTAGATGTAGAAGATGCCTAAGATCTGATTCCTAATGCGTTCCAACATTTAGAGGTTGAAAAGAAGAAGGAGCAGCTGTATAAGGGAAACCAGGATAAAGCAATTAACCAAAAGTTGAATGAAGGAAGTATTTCAAGGAAGAAGTGATCAGTTGTTTCTAATTAGAAGTTAAGACAAGAACTCAGAATTGTTTACTGCATTTCATAAAATGACAATCTTTGGTGACCTTTGTGAAATCTTTTAGTGGAACAGTGTAAATGAAGGCATGAAGTTTGGAGTGGCTTTTACAATGACAATAGGAGCTTAACTTTGAATTTACACATTAAAATATCTATAGATGAAATGATAAAATGCCTCTGATTTCCATCAAAGAATCCAGTGAGTCACAATACCCCAAAAGTAGAAACAACTCAAGTATTGAACTCAACAAAGGAATGGATTTGCAAAATACAGTATGTGTGTTGTTGGAATACTATTCACCTATTAAAAAGAATGAACTGCTGATACATGTAGCAACATGAAACATGAAAACATAATGCTAAGTCAAGGAAGCCAGACACAAAAGATCAAATCTTTTATTTTTATTCAGTATTTCTAATAAGCAAATTTATAGAGACCGAAAGTAGATTAAGGATCAGGGTCATGGGAAGACTTGGGATGGGGTGTTAGCTTTGCATTACTGTAACAAATGCCTAAAATAGCCAGGTTAAAAATAGGAATGTTGGGTCGGGGATTTAGCTCAGTGGTTCCGAGTTCAATCCCTGATACCCCCCCCAAAAAAAGGAATGTTTAAAAGCTGGGCATACTGGCATATGCCTATAATCTCACCACTTAGAAGGCTGAGGCAGATGGGTTGCTGCAGGTTTGAGGCCAGCCTGGACTACATAGTTAGTTCAAGGCTAGCCTGAGCTACATAGTGAGACCCTGTCTCCAAAAACAAACCCAAAAAGGGGGAATGATTTATTTTGGCTCACAGTTTTGGAGGTTTCAGACCATGGTTGGTTGGCATTATTACTTTTGGGCCTATAACACAGCAGTACATCATGGTAGGGAATGAATAGTTGACCAAGTGGCAGCGAGAAGACAAAGATAGAAGAGAAGAGACCTGGATCCCAATATCCCCCAGTGACCTAACTTCTTCCACTAGGTCCTGCCTCCTAAAGGTTCTACCACCTCTCAGTAATGCCACAGGCTGGAGATCGAGCCGTCAACACATAGACCTCTGGGAGATGTTCAAGATCCAAACTATAGCAGGAGGGACATTATTTTTTTTAATAGCTCCACATTTCCCTCTGAGAATGCTACATGGTCTGTTGTTCCACTGTCTTTTGATTCCTCACGCTTGACTTCATTTTGGACATGATACTGGACAGTTAAAGGCTATCAACAATCATTCATTGGATAGGTGGTTTTGTGGAAAGAGGGAGTTCCTGTGTTTGATACAGTACTCACTTTTGCCTTTACAGTGACTCTTTATTGTGGTTTCATTACCTTCAGCAGCCATGTGATAGCCACTACCAACTGCCAAATGAGGTGTAAAATACATTGCTTTTACCTATGTTTGTTGCATTGCTTTTTCTTTCTCCAGCTTTATGAACTGGGATTGACAAATGTTAATTAGTGTGCGGTGTTCTTTTTATGGGGTAATTTGTACTGGAAATTGAACCCAGGGCCTTGCACTTCAACATGCACTGTACCACTGAGCTACATCCCTGCCCACGAGTTGTGTATATACTTAAAGTGTTATATGTATAAATTGTTACATTGCTTCTTATTGAGGCAAGGATTAGTATTTTTATTTTAATTTGGAGACCTTATAAGGCTATCTTGATACAATTGGTAACAGTTAAAAGAAGTTACTCTAAGAATATAAAGTTTTCTGTGGTATGTCAATGTTCTTGTTGTAGAAAGGTCTTAGTTTAATGTGAATTAAGTCTGCTTATAAAATTAGGGCTGAAGGATAATTGATGTTTCATTTAATGATTAGCTTATCTTATAAAAGAAGACTCTTTTAGAGACATCTGGCAATCTGGTGTGTGTACCCTTCTGTAAGCAAGAACACAGCCTAATGTGGCTGGTGCAGAGCTGCAGCTAATGGGTTAGGATAAGTGGCATTGAGCTGTCAGCATGAGCATACTGTTAAGGCACATGCTCTTTTTTTTTTAATTCATTAAGTTTATTGGTACATTTTAGGTATACATTATGATCACATTCATCACTGAGAATTTGTACCTATACGTGGTGTATCTTGGTTCTTGTTTTTTCCCCTTTCCCCTTTCCCTCCCTTCCACCCCTCTACCCCTCCCTATTTACAAAAAAACTGTTTCCGCTTTTTCCTTCTTTTCTCTAGGCAAATGCTCTTTCCTAGGATCACTTAGAGAAGATGCAAAGGATTTCAAACCAGAAATACTTCTTAGATTTTTTTGGTTTGTTTTCTTTTTCAGTGACGACAGTATGGGCTATCAGTATCCATTTACTCTACGAGTTGTGCAGAAAGATGGGAACTCCTGTGCTTGGTGCCCATGGTATAGATAAAGTGACCTCTGCTAAAGAAAAGTTTTAGAAGAATTGTAACTTCAGATATTACACCTTTTTCATATACTTCCAGTTTTGGGAAATAATAGTGAATAATGAGAAACTTGAAATAAACTTAGGAATTGTTTGCATTCATCTCTTTTTGTAAGATAGACAGCTAAATTTTCCTCCTCGGCCTTTCACAATGGGACTACAGGCACATGCTACTGTGCCAGGCCATACTACTCTAAACTTTCTGCCCCCTAAAAATAGATCAGTTTGGCAATTGTGAGGCAGTAAAATATAGTCTACTTACTAAATCTTGTTGGAAGACTGGGCGTTTTTGTTGTTTATTTGGTTTGTTTGGTGCTTTAGTTTTTTTGAGACAGGATCTCCCTTTGCAGTTCAGGCTGGCTTTGAACTCATTATTTATCCCAGGGTGACCTTGAACTCACAGTGATCCTCCTGAGTGCTGGGATTAGAGGCGTGTGCCACCATGCCTGGCTTGTTTTTTGGTTTTTAGAAGAGTTTTGGAGATTGATTGGGGAAAAATACCTGATAATACTTAAGTCAACTATTAGAGAACTGGAATAATCCTAACAGACTGAAAAGGAATTGGGAACCATGGCTTGTCATGTCTTCCTCCATGCAGCTCCATAAATTTTTATTTTCATTTACTTAATGTGCCATTTTACAAACAAGAAAATAAGCATTGTTAGATGTTACCCTACCTCAGACTGTTAAATAAACTAAATTTAAAATTTCTTTAGAGGGCTGGGGATTTAGCTCAGCGGTGCTGACGCCTGCCTCACAAGCACAAGGCCCTGAGTTCGATCTCCTGTACCAAAAAAAGGAATTTCTTTAGAGCAGACGATGTCAGATAACCAATTCTTGTATATAACTTATTTGTCTTCAGCTCATATCTTCCTGTATGTTATCAGATGTTTATCAAGTGCTGTAAAAAACGAAAGACTTAGAGGTGATAAGCATAATTCCCTGAAATAATAATTAATAAATATTACTACATTTGTCAGAGTGTGAAATTAGAAACCCATGACAAATTATAAAACTAAGAGCAAAGTAGAAAAGTAGTAAGGAAGAATATTTCTGATTAAGAAAATTTAGATTCCTTCATAATTATTTCTTCATCTGGGGACCTTTTTCTTTCTTTTAGATTTTGTAGAGGCTGTAAAATTGACTGTGGGGAAGACAGCGCTTTCATTGGAAATGCCTACATTGCTGTGGATTGGGACCCAACAGCTCTTCACCTCCGCTATCAAACATCACAGGAAAGAGTAAGTGCTCAGGGCCACCATAAGGTGGTTGTTTCTATATGGGAAATTTTTCCCAACTTAACTGTATAATGACAATGTAAAATAACCAGAAAAAAAATTATTGGGATATTTTATACCACTTAACATACTCATATGATTTCTTGGGGGGTTTTTTCCCCCTGACATTGCAGATCAATTGTATTGAGGCATTAAATTTCAAAAATATTAATAACAAGTAAATCTTGAAACAAACATTATAATTAAGACATTATATTCTCTGACCATGACATACCAATAAACATTTTTCTTCCCATTTATTAAGTAATCAATGAAGCTCTAGCACTTGATAACCACAATTACTTAACTCCTGTCCTACAGTGATAGCAGCTATCATTAATGAGCATGGTGATTACAAAAATTAAAAACTAAAATGTTGGGCTGGGGATTTAGCTCAGAGGTGCCGCACCTGCCTCGCAAGTGCAAGGTCTTGAGTTTGATCCCCGGTACTGCAAAAAAATAAAAATGTTTCAGGACTGTATACCTAACATTACATCTCAGTGGCTCTTCTTCACACTTTGCATTTCTCTGCTGCTGCTTTCTAGCCAGAGCTTTTTTTTTCCTAGGTGCTGGGGATCGAACTTGAGACCTTGCTCTTGCAAGGCAGGTGGCAGAACCACTGAGCTAAATCTCCGGCCCCCTTTTCTTTTTTTTTTTTTAAGTTTACTAAAGAATATGTTAAAATATAGAATAGGACTGGAGGTTAGCTCAGTGGTAGAGCAATTACCTGGCATGTGCCAGGCCTTGGGTTTGATGTCTAGCAATGAACTTAAAAAAAGAAAAAGAAAAAAACAAACTCCATACCTAAGACTGTTTGCCTTAGGCAGTTTTTCATCAAGCAAATATTGTTTGAAGGGTAGAGTAACAGTATTAAGAATATGATAGAAGCCAGAGATGTAGCTCAGCTGCACAGAGCCTTCCTGGCCAGTGAGGTCCTGAGTTTGAGCCCTAGTACCAAAAAAAAAATCTGATCGAGAAGTAAATGCAACAGAATCAAAGAATTTTTATAAGTCATACTGGAAATTACAGTGAGTTTTATGTTTATATGCCTCTTGATTGTTGGAAATTTGCTTTATTAATAAAAGCATTCCCTTTAGATAAGTTTGTAATAGTAATTAACATTCCTCTTTTTATGCTATTGAGAAGTAGAGAAACTGGCAATTGCAGCCTAATTCCCTGTTTGGATACCTATATGTGTATCTCCACACCCTGAGGCTCCTGACAGCTTTTTCTAGCTGAGTACAATTTATGATATTTGCCAAATGAAAGATCACTGAGCTAAAAAGATAAAAGCTGAAGAGAAGTTGATGTTCCATATTGTGTTCTCTGTAGCAAGGTAATAATAACCTTAGCCATGCTTCCTTTGAAGAGGAAAACTAGCAGTTCATAGAAGGATTCCTAAATCTCTGTCATCACAGAATCTGACAGGATATTATTCTGACAAAAGACTTTTTTTTTGGTACCAGGGATCGAACTCCGGTCCTTGCACTTGCGAGGCAGGCAGCGGAACCACTGAGCTAAATCCCCGGACCCACAAAAGACATTTTTATCAAAGATTTTTTTAAAAATTGGCTCTGTAGGCCCAGGTGTTTAGCTCAGTGGTTTCGCCACCTGCTGCACAAGCACAAGGACCTGAGTTCGATCCCTGGTACCCAAAAAAAAAAAAATTGGCTCTGTAGGGCTGGGGATTTAGCTCAGTGGTTCTGTTGCCTGCCTCACAAGTGCAAGGTCCCGAGTTCAATTCTCAATAGCAAAAAAATAAAACATTTTAAAAATTGGTTCTGTAAATACTTTTTAAAAAGCCCAGTGTGCAATTGAAAAAGCTCTGTAGGATATCCCATTAGAAGAAGGGCCTACAGTATGACCAGTTAAATCTTGCTCAACTTCCACTTTCAGTGAGGTACTTAGGCTACCATGGAAACAAGGAGCTATTGAGATATCCTGCCTTGCTGGAGAGTGAGGACACATGAGTAATCTGGGCTCTTCCTACATGTGGTTTCTGCATGTGCTAAGACAGTCACGTAGACAGAGGATAACCTCGGTTCACTTCACAATTGAACCAAGTATATGCCCCGTATATTTTACATTTTTTATTCCAATGACTCCCTTCTAGGAAGTTTTCCTAGGGAAATACTCTGTCCATCATATAATATTTTATTTTACTTTATTTTTTTATTTTTTTTGCTACCGGGGATCGAACTCGGGTCCTTTCACTTGCGCAGCAGGTGGCGGAACCACTGAGCTAAATCCCCAGCCCTATATGACATTTTAAAAGAGTAAAAATAGGGGCTGGATTTAGCTCAGTGGTTCCGGCGCCTGCCGCGCAAGCACAAGGACCCGAGTTTGATCCCTGGTACCAAAAAAAAAAAAGAGTAAAAATATTTGAAACAATTAATGTTTGCTCTGCATTAGAGGATAGTTACATAAAGCATGATATATTTATTGGATAGAATATTATATAGTCCTTGGAATAACGATTACCCATTTTTACTGACGTTTATGGCAAGATGGCACTAGTTTTTTTTCATAAAAGCAAAAAGTTACATATAATGAGAAAAAAATCTCTTCAATTGTTTTTGGTTTTTTTTTTCCGGTACCAGGTATCGAACTCGGGTCCTTCCGCTTGCGAGGCAGGCAGCGGAACCACTGAGCTAAATCCCCGGCCCCAAAAGTTACTCTCTTCAATTTTTTAAAAAACAAAAATACTGTTTAGGAAGAGGACAGAAGAAAATCTGCCTTTGTATTAAGAATATAAAAAGGTTTCTCTACCTTTTTACAGAAGCTGAGCATATATCCAAAAGGCAAAAAAAGTCTTTATCAGAGAAAATTTATTGATAATATAAATTATAGTCTGTCACTATATTTTCATCAGCCTTCCTTCCTCCCAGTCCTTGCTTGTGTCCTACAGAAAATATAGTCAATAAAAACCCAGCATTCTTTAGTAGCATATATCATTTGTGGTTGGCCATAAAGCTGCCCTGGTGGAGAGAATAGAGATACTGTTTAACTGGCTGTGAGCTACACTTGATACACCTCTTCTCCTTATACAAACCACCATGACACATGTTTCCTTTGAAGCAAGTCAGTTTTTCCTTTAGGTGACCACCCCAAAAGACACAGAGTTAATATCTTATTACTACAGAATTTGTGCTCAGAAGTCAGTGACCCACAGTCAAGCCATATTTTCTCTTTTAAAAACAGAATTTTCCCCTAGTTCTTCTTTTTAAAGTAATTGTTTTTTATTTGTTTTGTTTTTGAGACAGACTCTGGCTATATAGTTCAGGCAGGTCTTGAATTATGTATCTCAGAGTCTTGAATTTGCTGTGTTCCTCTTGCCTCAGCCTCCCAAGTGCTGGGTTTACAGCATACAGAAACCACCCCCCTCCGCCATCTTAATGAGCTCTTTAAACCAGATGTGGTGCAGTGCTAAGACCTTCATTGAATGATCAACTCCAACCTTGATAGTTTTCATGGGCATTTGACAGCCTTGTAACTCAGCCATTTTCTCCTACAGGAAGAAAGTTTCATCTACAAACCTGTTCTAAACAAAATGGCTAAAACTGCCAATTTGTAATCCAAACAGCACAGTTTTTCCATCCTGGGTTTCAGTAATGGTGATCTGTAGGAAGTTGCCTCAGGCAAAGATGACCAGCTCACCTCTGGGGGGAAGGGCAGTAAGAGGGGTGATGGACGTATATGTGACCTTTGACAGAAAGAGAGCCAGTAATCACTGTACTTGTAGTCCAGGATCTGCATTGGGAGAAAAATATCCTTGTGTGAAATCTCATGTAGCCTTCAGAGTACTGATGCTATGCCTCTTCCACCTTCTCAGACCTACTACAGACAAAAGGGTCTCAGCTCAATGTTTCTTACTTCATCCAGATCTGGCATCTGTGTTTCAGTGATACTATTTCTCTTAGCCTCCTTAAAGCCTGCAGCATACTAATAATGCTGTCTTTCTGCTTAAAAAATAAGTGGTTTAGGCCGGGGATTTAGCTCAGTGGTTTCCGCCGCCTGCTGTGCAAGTGCAAAGACCCGAGTTTGATCTGCGGTACCAAAAAAAAAAAAACAGTTGTTTATTCTTAGCACTCCTGGCTTGAGGCCTAGTTCACATGTAAACTGTAAGGATTCCACAATTGTGAAACAAACAGGCAGTTCTTTGTTTGTTTTTGTTATTGTTATTTTGAAGTACTCAAATTTTTCTAAAAAAATTATAGTCATATAAATAGAAGTTTTACCCAGGATGTTATTGATGTGGCATTTATGAATGAATATGTGATGCTATACTGCTTAAACAATTTAAGTTGTATTTTGTGAATGAATGTCTGATGCTGTACTTGCTTAAATACTTCAGTTTGGGTTACATTTTCCTTTTCCCCATCTAAAGTGAGATAAATGTGAGTGACTGAGAAAATGAGGCATATCTAGATGAGCATTTTCAGTATTTCCCCACAACCCATGTTCATTCTCTTGCCTCTCTCTGTAGGTTGTAGATGAGCATGACAGTGTGGAGCAGAGTCGACGAGCGCAAGCTGAGCCTATCAACCTGGACAGCTGTCTCCGTGCTTTCACTAGTGAGGAAGAACTAGGGGAAAATGAGATGTACTACTGTTCAAAGTGTAAGACTCACTGCTTGGCAACCAAGAAGCTGGATCTCTGGAGGCTTCCTCCTGTCCTGGTATGGTATAGCCCTGTGTTTGAAAATCTAGTATAAAGGAAAGACGCTATGAACAAAAGGGTGTTTTTTCTTTTTTTTGGAGGGGGAGCATGAATACAGGGTATTAACTGTGTAGCCCAGCTGACCTCAGACTTGTGATCCTCCTGCTGTAGCCTCCTGAGTGTCAGGATTACAGGCATGCGCCACCACACCCAGCTTCATAAACAGTTTGTTATTTCTGATACTAAGATCCTTCCTGTGTCAATGTTTTTTTGTTTGTTTGTTTTTTGGTACCGGGGATCAAACTCGGGTCCTTGCGCCTGCGCAGCAGGCAGCAAAACCGCTAAGCTAAATCCCTGGCCTTCCTGTGCCAATGTTTAAAACCCTTCTTTTGTGCAAGGTTTTTTGTTTTGTTCTTAGTACTGGGGGTCAAATCCAGTGCCCTATGCATGCAAGCACTGCAGCACTGAACTACATCCCCAACCCTGTGCAAGGGTTTTTTTGTTGAATGCAGAGGTGAATTATTCTAAAAATATTTGGTAGTTTCTGTCCCTGAAGAGCTTACAGCCTAGGTGGAGAAAGAAGTAAGGTAAGGCCAGTAACTGCAGTTTAGCACAAGATGAGAAGTATGACAGGTGGTATAACCTAGTGAATTTGAACTTCAGAAGAGGGTGAAATCAATTCTGGCTCTGTGGAGAGAAGAAGCTTTAGGCTAGCCCTTAGACGATAGAACAGCCAACCCAGGAGCACTCAGTGCCCACTGAGCTTGGTCACATGGTGTGACACACTGCTGAGTCCAGTGCATGCACACGCACATCAGTGCACGGGTGCTTATGTGTTCCTTTGTCTTTGATTCACTTCTTCCTTCTCCCTTCATGGGACAAGTGTTTTCCTTATGGTTGGAAGGACCATCACCAAATGTAACTAACTGTAAAGAACTAGTTTTTGTTTGTTTATTTTCTGTGGTGCTGGGGACTGAACCCAGGGCCTTGCACATGCTAGGCAAGCGCTCTACCACTGAGCTACACGTCCAGAGGTACTAGTATATTTTAACTAGACATTGTATTTTTTTTATTTATGTCTTTATTGTACTACTCTGTAAGCCTGAATTAGGCATTTCTTTCCTAAGACCGGAATAGCTTCTCCGGGAAGGGTGCACAAGAAATTGGTAGCACTGATTTAGCTAGCTCCAAGGATGGAACTAGGGGAAGGGGAGAAGACAAGGGTCAACTTGTAAACAACTTGAAAACAGTAGATGGGGAAGGGGAAATGTTTTAAATAAGATATAATTAATATGCAGTTAAATGCAGAGATTTTAAATGTCCAGCTTAGTGAATTTAAGCCAGGCGTGGTGCCACATGCCTACAATCCCAGTATTTACGAGGCTAAGGCAGGAGGATCACTGTGAGTTAGAGGCCAGCCTGGGCTGCATAGTGAATTCAGGGCCACCCTGTACTACAAAGCGAGACCCTGTCACAAAACAAACAAAAAAAACAGTTTCATGAATTTAGACCCCATTGTACTTACTCACATAAACATCCCATAAAATGCATCATGGAATAAGAACAATTTTGAGCTGGTGTGATAACCCACACCTGTCTGGGAGGCTGAGACAGGAGAACCACAAGTTTGATCCCAGCATGGGCAATTTAACAACTTAGCCAAGACCCTGTCTCAAGGCCTTGGTTCAGTTCCCAGTATCACAGGAAAACAGTAATAGTTTTGTAGTCTTTAAGAGTATCAAAGAGTATATATGTTACATATTCTTGAATACGTGTACATATTAGACTTTGGGGGTTGGGGTCGGTCCTATCTTCAGAACCCTTTATAATGCAGATACTTCCTACATTTTCTTCTCCAGATTATCCACCTTAAACGATTTCAGTTTGTAAATGGTCGATGGATAAAATCACAGAAAATTGTTAAATTTCCTCGTGAAAGTTTGGACCCTAGTGCTTTTTTGGTACCACGAGACCCAGCTCTCTGCCAGTGCAAACCACTCACACCCCAGGGGGACGACCTCTCTGAGCCAAGGGTTCCTGCAGAAGAGGTGAAGAGAGTGGATGCTCAGAGCTCCACAGGGGGTGAGGATGTGCTCCTGAGCAAGAGCCCATCTTCTCTCAGTGCAAACATCACCGGGAGCCCAAAAGGTGAGGGGGCTAGGCTGCTGGAGGGGCAGCTCAGTGTGGGAGGGAGCTGTCTGCAGTCAAGCCTCTCTCTATTTGAGCTGTGTGATTTCTAGAGAGACAGCCTCCTTTAATCTAGTTTCTCATCTGTGAGATGGGCGATAACACCAAGTCCACAGTGTGAGGATTTGAAATATCAAAAGAGACACACTTTATATAATGCCTGATACCACACATGCTAAACATGAATGGTAGTTGTCACCCTTTCCCCCTTACAGCAGAGGTTCTCCAAGTATAGTCTAGGAACTATAGGGCTCCCTGAGGCCCTTTCAAGAGGGAGGATTAAAACTATTTTCATGAGGGCCGGGGGTTTAGCTCAGTGGTTTCACGCCTGCTGCGCAAGTGCAAGGACCCGAGTTCGATCCCCGGTACCAAAAAAAAGAAAAAAAAAACCTATTTTCATGAAAATAGTAAGGCAACACAGTTTCCCTTGATATCTGAGTTATTTTATTTATTTTTTTCAGTTATGTTTTTTAAAAATCGAGATCCGAGGGCTGGGGATTTAGCTCAGTGGTTCTGCCGCCTGCCTCACAAGCACAAGGTCCCGAGTTCGATCCCCGGTACCAAAAATAAAAATAAAAAATCAAGATCTAGGACAAGTGGAAATATTGTACATGTCTTATTGAAATATTGATCTTACAGATTGAACCATATCTGTCAAAAGGATATGTTGAAGTCTTAACTATCACACACAGTCATCCATTGGTGTCCATGGGGGTCTGCTTCCAAGACCTCCCACCAGTACCAAAATTCACAGATGCTCAACTCCCTATCATAAAATGACATCATATATGCCTATATCCTATGCATATTCTCCCTGTATACTTTAAATCATCTCTAGGTTACTTGTAATACCTAATATGGTATAAATACTATACAGATAGTTGTTCTGTATGGTTTAGGAAATAGAAGTCTATACATGTTTAATATAGACACAATCTTTTTATTTTTTTATTTTTTTTGTTTTTGTTTTTGTTTTTTGGTGCCGGGGATCAAACTCGGGTCCTTGCTCTTGTGAAGCAGGCACCAGAACCACTGAGCTAAATCCCCAGCAACACAATCTTTTTATTAAATAATTTAGATTCATTGTGTGGTATTTTTGTGTGAGGTAGAGATAATAGTTCATTCCTAGAACCATAACTACTAATAATAAGTACTTTATGAATGGTGGCCATATTTTTTAATCTAGTTTTATGAAGGAGAGAAGTATGTATTTGTATAACTTCCTAGACTGATAATTACATTGTTTTCCATGAATGTGACACAAATCACCTTTCTGCTATTTTCTAAGTCCTTGCAATGTATTCTGCAATTCTAGGACATTGCTGCCCAACTTGATGGCTCTAAATTAGGAACTAGAGAGTAACCAGTTAGGACTCCCCTATTTTACCTTTATGTGTATATTTGTGAATTTGGCCTCAAAGTTAGCATTTGGTATCTGACTTAACTTGTGGCTTTTGGACTTCAGACTTAACAAATCTTTCCTTTCCCTTTTGTAGGTTCGCCTTCTTCACCAAGAAAAAGTGGAGCCAGCTGTCCCTCCAGTAAGAATAGCAGCCCTAACAGCAGCCCACGGACTTTGGGGAGGAGCAAAGGGAGGCTCCGGCTGCCTCAAATTGGCAGCAAAAATAAATTGTCAAGTAGTAAGGAGAATTTGGATGCCAGCAGAGAGAATGGGGCTGGGCAAATCTGTGAACTGGGTGATACCTTGAGCCGAGGGCACTTGCTGGGAGGCAGCCAACCTGAGCTCATCACCCCCCAGGACAATGAGGTCACTTTGGCCAATGGATTGATCCTTTATGAGCATGAAGCCTGTGGCAATGGCTACAGCAACGGTCAGCTTGGAAACCACAGTGAAGAAGACAGCACTGATGACCAAAGAGAAGATACTCATAGTAAACCTATTTATAATCTGTATGCAATTTCGGTAAGTGGTTTTTGTGTGGTTTTCAAAGAATAGTCTATACTTTTCAGTGGTTTGTTCATGTGTCTTCATTCATCATCAAGCAGTCCTTTAGGGCCTACTTATAGACAGTTAATAAAGAAATCTTGGCCTTCAAATAGAATCTGAAGCTCACAATGTGACATAGAAGATAGTAATTAGTACAACTGGTGTCCAGAGTTCAGATTAATCACTACTAGCCTATAATCCCAGCACTCAGGAGGCTAAGGCAGGAGGAATGCTGTGGGTTCAAGGCCAGCCTGACTAACAAAGCGAGACCCTGCCCCCCAAAAACAAAACAAAATAGTTGATATTGTGTGTTTCTAAGGAACTTTTCCTTCTAAAAGATAATTACAACTATAAAATGGTTTATCTTTACAAGATTTGGATTTAAGACATTTGAATTTTGTTTTAGGAAAACTTTAGATGGTTCCAAAACATTTTTTCTTACCCATCCAAGTGTTCAGCATTCTCTTGCTCAGATCCTAGTGCCATGCCTTGGCCATAGGACTGTTTACTACTAACATACCTCCATTCTCTTCTCTCTTTAGTGCCATTCAGGAATTCTGGGTGGGGGCCATTATGTCACTTATGCCAAAAACCCCAACTGCAAGTGGTACTGTTACAATGACAGCAGCTGTAAGGTAAATACTCTCAATCTTTTTTTTTTTTTTTTTAATCTTTCTGGTTTTTTGTTTTTGGTACCGGGATTCGAACTTGGGACCTTGTGCTTTTGAGGCAGGCGGGAGAACTACTGAGCTAAATCCCCAGCCCTATTCTCAATCTTTGAATGAAAGAAACAGAATGTCAACAAATCTGGGAAACATTTGGTGAAATAATATACTTTTTCCTGAATGGGAAGTAAATATTTCTGTTAGGGTCAGTATTTAGATGGTGTCAGTATTAAGGAAACAACGGTGATAGGTGGAGTAGAGAATGAAAACATGAATGGTGAGGGAAAAGAAGGTATTAGTTAATGAGAAAAGGTTCTAACCTTTTGGGTTCTGGGAAAGGTTGGAATGTTTTTTGTTTGTTTCTTTTTGTTGGATGGGGGGTGATGCTGAATTAAACCTAGGGCCTCATACATACTAGCCAAGTTCTCTACAACTGAGCTAGATTCCCAGCCCCAAACGTTTGAACTATAAAAATTTGATGGAGTGCCAGGAATTTAGCTCAGTGGCACCCGCCTGCCTTGCAATCACAAGGTCCTGAGTTCAATTCCCAGTATCAAAAATAAAAAATAAATTTGGTGGAGTTTTTAGTTATTCTTTTGAATTGTCTGTGTTTAAAATATTTTCCCCAAAAGAAACATTGTAAATAATGGGGTTCATTTGGGCACTGCTATTGAGACAGCCAAAATGTTGAGGATGCTGAGTGGAAGCAGTCAGGTTTGGTCATTAGGGAAGACTGGTCTTCCTTACCCTGACAAGGATTAAGAGGGAGCATGGTGATGTCTTTTTATGAAAGGCTTTTCTTTCCCCTTCAGGAACTTCACCCTGATGAAATTGACACCGACTCTGCCTACATTCTCTTTTATGAGCAGCAGGGGATAGACTATGCACAGTTTCTGCCAAAGATCGACGGCAAAAAGATGGCAGACACAAGCAGCATGGATGAAGACTTTGAGTCTGATTACAAAAAGTACTGTGTGTTACAGTGAAGCTGTCACTCTGGCTGCTAGGTAGGCTGGTGGTGAGGGAGGTGACCCCTTGTAGCTGACATTTGGCAAAAGCATTGCTGAAAAGTAGGCTAAATGTAGTTTTATCCTGTGACCCTGAAGCACAAAATAAAACTCCTAATTAAAATAGAATTAACATGAAGAGTAGTGATAACTTTTTTTTGAAGTCTCTCACAAGTTCTCCGTGGAGAACTTGTAGGCAAATCCCACCATTAGCCTGTAAACAAAAGGGTCAGACACCAGCCACCTGGGACCAAGTAAGAATTAGATTGTGCTTGTCCAGATACGAACAAACTTGTAGTGAGTATAGAGTTTACCAGTAATCATAATAAAATGCTAAAGATTTCCTTGGAGTCAAAGTAAAAAACAAGAAATTGTAGTGTTGTCTGGAGACGACATGATATGCTACCTCCTTTTTCCTGAAGTTTTATTCCATTATATTGATAAGATGGAGAAAGCAAGATCATGAAGGTGTGCAAATGTTTCTTGGGGCATGGACACAGATTTTTTTAGTTTATTTTTTTAATTGTTTGCCCTACTCTTGTTTGTCAGCCTTGCATTTTGTTTTTGTTGTGTTTGTGTTTGAGACACAACCTTCTTTGGTGGCAGAGGCATGTAGTAGTCAAATCTGAACGGGAGAATCTTAAAAACTATGTGCCTTCTACCCCGGGTCTTAGTTGAGAGGCCCAGTAGAAAGGACAAACATCCTGGGAAATCCAGCTGACATGGCCTCCTGATAGGGGCGTCTTGCTTTTAGGGTACTTCAAGTATCCTCAGAAATGTATCCCCCACACGTACACTGCTGAGTGTGGCAGGGAAGTTGCGAATATTTGCACCATCTTCCCATGCATCTGTTGCACAAAGAGCCTCTAGGGAGGTGAGTGGCATCAAAGCTAGATGGTATTTCACATGAGTGGTTGTCTTTTTCTTTTCTTTGTTTTGCACTTTAAAAGAGAGAGAAAATACGTACAAACAAACTTACTTGTATTTTAATGGCTCTAAGGGCTACAGATTAACTTGATTGGGATATGTACCCTCACCATACTAAATTTAAAAACAAAATACATCCCAGACATTTATAGTCATGCAATTTTTTAAATAAAATTGTTAGGTTTAGGAAGTAAACTGTTTTGTTTGCATGCACCCCCCTTTTTTTCTTTCTTTCTCTTTTTGCACTAGTCAGCAGAAGTTATGTTTCTTTGCTTCATGTTTCTTCTCAGATTATTCAACTGGAACAAAAGTATAAATGTTATTTATTTCAGACAGCATTTTTTTCTGTATTGTTTTTTAATATATAGTCAAAGGAAATGTCTCATCTTTATTTTTGATCTTTTTAAAAAATCATTTAGACCCTAGAAGTTGATTCTCATGTATTATCAGATTCTATTACCTTTCCTTTCCTCATAGGTAGTAAATACCAATGTAATTAAACATTTGTGATCTGATATCTGAAGCCAGTATACCTAGTTCTTTTCAGAGCATTTCAAAAGGTTGTCTTAAATGGCCACCAAAGTTGAAGTTCTTTTCAGAAGAATGTAATTGCGAGTAGGAAGTAGTGGCCTCATTGGTATAATGTAATAAAGTCAGACAAAATGTATACTTTATAGTTTTTGAGTTTTTCACTGTATAAAGTCTGTCCTTTCCTACCTGGACAAACCAATGAAAAAGTGGAAAATTTTAAATAATTTCCTTACAGATAATTTATTTAAGCAGGTAGCACAATCTACTAATATTGTTTGATCTGTATTTCTTATATGGGTTGTAATTAATTTTTTAAATTCATAAACTAGCAGAAAATTTATTAAATTAACTATTAACTACATTCACCTTGTAAATTTCTGTATAAAACTTGTTGACAATGCACTGACTTTAGAAAGATGTTAATGTATATAAATAGAATGTAAATAAAATAGTGTTGCTGTACTGAAATATGAGCTGTATAAAGAAGTATTGGTAATTGTATATGGAGTGTACCTGTTATCTGTAACTATTATCCAAACAAATTAAATACTGTGGATGCCCATGTGCTGTTTTTCCTCGTACAAGTAAACAAAACATCAACTTCTTCAGCCTGTAATGAGTTTAATTCTGCTGCTAGAATAATACCTGTCTGCCCCACAGAGTGAATACTACATCCATGTTCACTGTTAAGGTAGAACAAGATACTTGCAGTGACCAGATGCATCTGATCTAAATGCACCTTACATCCCTTTTAGGAAATTATTCAGAAGGCATTGAGGTAGGGAGGAAGAAGGATAGAGAGCCAATAATGAACCGAGAAGTGACAGGGGAGGTATCACAGAAGCTTTCAAGCTGATTAGGAGACAAGGTGAAGAGAATCCTAACCCTAATGCTTTGAAATGGCCTTCAGTTTCTGGAGGGGCACTGAGAAGCTAGGCATGTCCTGGATTATCTCCAGGAAAAATCTCCACGAAGCAGTTGACAGTGTTGAGAATAGATGAAGACTTAACCTCTCCTTCACCCTACAGTAGTTTTCTTTCCTGTAAAATTAGGATACCTTGGGCTGGGGATTTAGCTCAGTGGTTCAGGCGCCTGCCTTGCAAGCGCAAGGTCCCGAGTTTGATCCCCGGTACCAAAAAAAAAAAAAAGTCATCTAGGATACCTAACACTCAGGCTTTAGAAGTAAAGGGGCTAGGCATGGTGGTGCACACCTATAACCCCAGTATGGGGTGGGAGGGCTGAGCCGGGAGGATCACAAGGTCAAGCTCAGCCTAGGCCATTTAGCAACTTAGCAAGACCCTCTCTGAATTTTTAAAAAGGACTGGGAATGTAACTCAGTGCAAAGGCCCTGGGTTCTATCTCCAGTACCACACATGCAGAGTAAATGAAATGCCTAAATGCCTAGCACGGTTTTGCTAAGTGCTCAGTGAATGTGAAATCCCACCCTATGAGGTGGTTTTTGTTTTATTTGCTTACTATACTAACACTAAACAAAATTTTTTTTGTATTACACTAAACAAATTTAATAAATCTCCATGCACATTCTTCAAAAATGGACTGCATATTAATCCTCAGTGCCTAGTGCCCCATTTTTGGAACACCCATAAATAACAATGAATGAAATGTTTTCAAATTCTTGTTCCTTGAATTTTTCTAGGTAATATGTATGAATTTCATGCAAAAATTTAAAAACTTTCAATCCTTGGCATAAATGGGTTAAAAATAAAATAAAATGTAGCCAGGTGTGGTGGTGCATACCTGTAATCTCAGCATTCTGGGAGGCTGAGGCAGAAAGATGACAAGTTTGAGCCCAGCCTGAGCAACTTAGGGGACCCTGTCCCCAAATAAGAAATTTAAAGAGGCAGGGGATGAGGTTTTGAGTAAAAGCCCTGGGTTCAATCCCCAGTACCAAGGGTAAAGAAAAGGCGTTGAATCAGCACAGTGGCAGATTCAGAAAATGAACCCATAAACTACTATCTATACTCTTACAGTACCAGCCTTTGGCTGTTGTTTATTTATTTATTTTGGCGGGGCAGGGGACGACCGGGAATTGAACTCAGGACCTTGCGCTTGTGAGGCAGGTGCCAGAACCACTGAGCTAAATCCCGGCCCTGTTGTTTATTTTTATTAGTACATATTTGCCGTATGTAACAATTGTATTCATGGTGAGGCATACATAACATACCTTTCTTCATCCTCCCCCCCCCCCGCCCCCCGGCCCAGTCTTTGCCTTTCACTTCGTTGTGGTGTTTTTGTTTTTGTTTTTGAGACAGGGCCTCACTGTGTAGTCCAAGCAGGCCCTTGAGCGCATGATGTAGCCCAGGCTGGCCTTGAACTTGTGATGCTGTAACTCTTGTCAGCCTCCTGAGTGCTGGAATTGCAGCTTTTCAAAGGAAGGCCTTTTCCATCCCCGGTATTAAAAAAAAAGGCCTTGGAAGGAGCAGCTTGTGGAGTTGAGCAGGCCTCCCGTTTCTGGTATCCGAATGGCCATGTAAGTTGAAAGAGGTCTTCAGCCTCCCTGCCTCCGCTGAGCACTCCTTCAGTTTCTCCACCACTTGGTGCCATTGCTTGCTGTGACTTCTTTCTTACTTGTCAGACACCATTGAATTGGAACAAGTAAATGAATTGCCATGTTTTTCCCAACTATTTTAAAGTTTGAATATAGAATTTTCCTGGATAAGCCAAAATGCATAACTTGAGGAGCGGGGATCCCAATTTTTTTTAATGTTGTCCTAGTGGGTTCCTTAATATTGAGATTAAAGTCGGAAACGCATATATCTATGGTCAGAGACCTCTACAAGGCAGAGCAACAAATAGAGGCTAACTTTAGCTTTGCCAAACTTGACCAGTGGGAGGCGAAAGAGCAGATAAGGGTGCAGAAAAAGCTACCCGTAGTAGTGCAGGCCTATAATCCCTGCATCCTGGGAGGCTGAGCCCAGAGGACTGCATGTTTGAGTCCAACCTTTGCAACTTAGCAACTGAGAAAGACCCTGTCTCCGAAATTTAAAAAGTAAGGCTGGGGATGTAGCTCAATACCAAGGTCCTGCATTCACCCCCAGTACTACCCCCGCCCCAAAAAAATAGTGCAGGGGACACAAACTCAGCCCTGTAGGTACCAGGTTGGGAATAAAGTATAGAAGAGAGCTGACCACAAATGAGAATGGGGAGTTCTAGGCACATAGCCATCTGAAGCTTCACCTGATTGTTGCTCATGAAACAATATGAGCCCCAGTGGTAACCAAAATTACTTTCCCTGAAAGAAGTTAAATTCAGATACTAATACAAAACATCCAATTTAGAAATGTTGTTAATTTGCAAGGGGGAGGGAGGTGCTTGGGTTTGTACCCAGGGCCTTGTGCATGCTGAACACTTGATCTACCACTGAACTACACTCCCGGCCCCAGTAATTAAGAATTTTAAACATAGTGTCCAAGTAAAAAATAGTTGCGAGCGGTGGCACACCCTTGTAGTCCCAGGACTCGGGGGCTGAGGCCAGACAGTCATTTGAGCCCAAGAGTTCAAGACCAGCCTGGACAACATAGCTCAAGAAAAGCCAGGTGCAAGCCACCTGTGACTAGTTTTCTGATGCTGGAACCAAATATCTGACACAAGAGTAAAGATTTACTTTAGCTCATGGTTTAAGAGTTTTAGTCCCTTGTTGTCTGGCTCCAAGGCAGAAACATGGCAAGGGAAAGCTGCTCACCTTATGGTAGCCAGGAAGCAGAGAGAAAGGGAAAGAGCTAGAGAAGAGCTGGAGTCAAGATAGACCTTTTGACAGCAAGATGGCAGTGCAGATTTCTGAGAAGAGATTTGTTGCCAACGGCATCGTCAAAGCTGAACTGGAGGAGTTTCTTGCTTGGGACCTGGTTGAAGATGGGTACTCTGGAGTTGAAGTCTGAATTACACCAACCAGGACAGAAATCATTATCTTAGCCCCCCAGGACACGGAATGTTCTCGGTGAGAAGGGTCAAGAATCCGAGCGTTGACTGCTATGGTTCTGAAAAGGTTTGGCTCCCTGAGGACAGTGTAGAGCTTTATGGTTTTTGCTTGTTTGTTTGTTTTTGTTTTTGCGCTACTAGGGATCGAACTCAGGACCTTGTGCTTGCAAGGCAGGCGTGATACCACTGAGCTAAATCCTCAACCCTAGAGCTTTATGCTGAAAGGGGGCCCAGAGAGGTCAGTGTGTCACTGCCCAGTCAGAATCTCTGCGTTATAAGCCCCTGGGAGGGTTTGCTGTGCAGAGGACCTGCTAAGGGTGCAGGTTCATCGAGAGAGAGAAGCGGAGCTTGTGGTCTCTGTGTGTCTGGGAAACTCTGAGGATGGAGACCTAAGTCCCTGAAGTTTGGATGCCCTGATGATCCACAGTGGGGACCTTGTTTACTACGACACTGCCGAGCGCTATGTGCTGCTCCGACAGGACATCACAGTAAAGATCATGCTGCCCTGGGATCCAAATGCTAAGATTGGCCCCAAGAAGCCTCTGCCTGACCTTGTGAACATTGTGGAACCCAAAGATGAGATCCTGCCCACCACCTCCATCTCAGAACAGAAGGGTGGAAAGCTAGAGCCACCTGCCGTGCCCCAGCCAGTCCCTACAATGTAACCCAATCTCCTTGGCAGCTGTATCTGAAAATGGAGGCTGCTGCGTAAAGACATTTAATAACTCTTAGCCCGGTGTGGTGATGCACGCCTATAATCCCACCATTCAGGAGGCTGAGGCAGGAGGATCGTTGCAAATTCAAGGCCAGACTGGGTTACATAGTGAGTTCAAGATCAGCCTGAATTACGTAGTGAGATTCTGTCTCAAATAAACAAAAAAAATTTTTTTTAGTCTTTTACAAAGCTGAAAAACTAAAAAATACACCTTTCAAAGGAATACCCCCAGTGACCACTTCCTCCAACTGGGCTCCAATTCATTTTTTGTTGCGGTTTTTATTTTTTTTAGTGTTTATTTTATTGAAAAGATTAGAATGTAGGGCTGGGGATTTAGCTCAGTGGTTCTGCCGCCTGCCTTGCAAGTGGAAGGTCCCGAGTTCCATCTCTGGTACCAAAAAAAAAAAAATAT